TGTGCCAGCGTGACGGCCGTCTCGGTGTGTGGTGCGTGATGGGAGATGTAGTTCATTGAGCGGTTTCACACAAAAAAAAGATTTACTTCAAAGTTTTACGACACATTTTAAAAATTTTGACTTGCAAAATTATCTTTTAAATTNATAACACTGAATATGTGAATCATAACAGGCTGGACAACCTGGAAGTCACTTAATAGACTGCGTGTGGAACAGGGGAGGTGCAAAGCACTGATGAAAGTGTGGAACTACACCACAGAAGACACATGCAGCTGTGGATCAGTGCAGACAATGTCCCACCTACTGGAATGTGCCGATGCCCCCCGGTGCAGTCCAGAAGACCTGGCAGAACATACCCCATCAGCTGTGGCCTGTGCCCGATACTGGCAGAACGACATCTGAGATTGCTACGGACTCGAAGAAGAACAGTGATTGACAGCTAATATCATATTAATTTAGACAAACATCGACGAGACAGTTAATTAATATACTTATTGCAGCAGTCTGCATATATGTGGTACCCATGCTGGTCTTTTTATTGGCAAGAAAAATCTACAAGAGATTGTACAGTGCAATCAGAGAGATACAGTATGTCCACGTTTTTGAGCAAGTCCACGAATCCAGTCTTTGTCAAGTCTGTCACCACCTTCGCGCAGCTGCTGGCGCCACTTCGTCCGGTCCTCCGCCAGCCTCTCCCAGTTGTCCGTCGCAATGTCCAGGGCCTTCATGTCACGTTTTACGACATCCTTGAAGCGCAGCAGTGTTCGTCCTCTGCCTCTGGAACCAGCGCTCAGCTCGCTGTATAAGATGTCCTTTGGCAGGCGGCCATCTGGCATTCTGCGAAGGTGACCAAGCCACCGCAGCTTTCTGACCTTCAGTGTTTGAAACATTGACTTGCTGCCCGTACGCGCCAGCACAGCCTCGTTCGTGACCTTGTCCGGCCATGTGATCCAGAGGATGATGCTTCGTTCCGGACTCATCATAATAATTTCACAAAATGATAATTACACTATAATAAATGACAATACACACACAATATACGTCCAGATCTCTTTCTTGAATTAGAAATCTTGACTTCATTTATTGCAGTCCTCTGGAAAAGTGATCTTTACTCACTAATCAGTATCAGTAAAATGCAGGCAAAAAGGCAAAAATAGTCCATTTAGACTTGGCAAAAG